TGTGACCGCCTATCCACGCCATTATACAGCTAAATAAACTATAATATTTGCTGACAGAAAGGTCTACGATCCTCCAACAGTGAATAAGCTGAAACCGAGAATTCGAGTATACAGATTGGACACAATTTCATTACATCATTTTTCTGCTAAGAAGTTTTGTGAAGCAGCAGGAGCAAACTTAAAAAAACGCGCTTTAAAATGAACTTTGAAAAGAAGGAGAGAAGCATATAATGTAATCAAAGAAGCACATGACTCATTTTCATTGTTTTTTTAATCAGAATAAAAAAAAAAGTTTTGATTAACTAATATGAGTTGAAAATTACATTGCCGACTCATTTAATGTACCTTTATCGTTTGCTCTATCAAATGGCTGATTCATACCACATATTTATTATAACAGTTACGTTATTTGACTGCAAAAAGTCCTTCTACCTTCGACGGTAAGTGTTTTAGACAGTGAAAAAAAAGAGTTAAAACTTGAAAAAAATGAGAAAAAAAAGAATAGGTTTTTGTATAATTTATGAAAGCACATTATTCCAACTCAATTTCGTCTTAATTCAAAAGGCACTAATTTTTAGCAGTGTGAAGTGGTTGAAACTTGGAACTCGTAAGCAAAGGATAGTCTTACTTCCACATTCTCCGTGTTTGTGCTGATAATTCATTTAATTGTACACCTTAATTCTCTGCTGGATTCATCCTTGGCAACTTTCATTGCATGCTACACATTTTCTGGGCATAATTTCATACACTGACTTTTCGCATTTGAGGACCGCCTATTCTTTGTCTCTTTCTTTTCTGCCTTTAAGTGACAGAAATAATTTTGTAAAAAAAAAAAGTAAGTTAGTGATTTTGTAAATTGTAGACCGTGGAAGTGTCTTCGGCCAGAAAAGGTTTTTGTACTGTAAATTTGAAGTGATAAAATAGCAAGATTTTAGCAGTTTAAATGAATAGATAGAGAATGACTACATCAAATGTTCGTAGAATATGTGAATCTGTACAAAAGGCTTTTCTTTTTTATCTTGTCGGTTATAAAGGAGATTTGAAGAAAATGAGCAGTTCGCAAAACAGCTTGTTTATTACTTGTCATTTTTTTAATTTTGCATTTCAAATGTCTGCATCTAGAGTATAATGTTTGGTATAGTACTGGTAGAAATTTCGATATTTTTTTAAAATTCTATTGAAAATCCTAAATGACTGCTGCAGTAAAACTTGTATGATAATCCTGGCTGTAAAGCAAAGCCAAATGGTATATGTTTTTGGTACCTCAATATATCA